TTTTTTGTTTTTTTTTGCTTGAGAGGGTAGGGTTGGGGATGCGCCGCCCCATGCCACCACTCAAAATGTTTTTGCCCCTCCCTACCGACAGCCATGCGTCCGCGGGGTCGCGGACCTGGCCGCGGCCGCGGACTTCGCCGCGCTTGGCCGCCGCTGGGGGGGATTCGTAGTGTGTGGGTCCTGGCATCCTACATCGCCCACACAAGACTGCACGTCTGCTACGAAGAGGCAACACACTACCATGGCTACCCGCACGATGATGTGAAGAAAAACATTGGCGACGATGTGTGATCATTAACATCCACCACCCCGATCCGACAAGATCAACATGTGACACTATGAATATAGACTACGTGAACAAACTTCACCTCCGGATCCACCATCACATTCACTCCCCTGTCGACCGTCGTTAGAGGTCACCCATCCTCTCGGCAAATGCGTCCCTCAGAATTAGCGCATCACCCGTCGGGCTCTCCATGCACACCGGCCTCAAGGGACGCTGGATTCCGAGATTCACACAACGGCGCACTTCGTTCGCATCCACCTCCCACAACAGATTGTCATCAAACGGGATGTCGGCGTCGATGAGCAGGTTGTGGAGAATGCGGACAATGACAAACTGTTGCGGCAACGTCTCCATGTTCGTCTTGTGCGACCACAGGAATAACCTCCACATCCTCTTTAGTCTGCCGAAATCAACTGCCCCCCTCGCGGTCTTCTACTTATTGTCGAACCGCATCTCCGACGGGTGACGAGTAGTGTTGCCATAGGGAACAACTATCCATTCGGACGGTGGGTAACCATTGTTGCCCAACAGATAGTTGTTTGTCTGGACGCCGAATGACGGCATCACAAGCGGTCCCGTGAAAAGTTCCCCAGCCTCTATACGCGCCCATAGACTCGACATGTGGATGATCCTGACGTCGTGGTAGCTTTCAGGATAGTCGACGAAGACATCCAGCACACTCACGTTCAAATCGACGACAACCTGCGCGATGACCGAGAAACATCGCTTCCGATTGTAGTAGTCATCGCAAGGGGCGTTTGTCGGCTTGTCGATGTAGATATGTGTGTAGTCAATGCACCCATGGCAGTTGGGGAACCCCTTGGCAGCGAAAGCACAAAGGACAACCGACTTGCGCACCCCCATCTGCCATGATATATTCTCACGGTAGACCATAAGCAACACCACAATGACGTTCCGTACCGCCACCAAACATGATGCTCCGCTGATGCCAAAGTTACACGTGCTGCTCTTGTACATCTCCCCCGACGCCCACCGATACAACGAGTACACGACGATCTGATCAGGCTGCAGCGGTTCCCTATTGAACGTCACATTCCGCTACAGGAAGGGCAACAGAGCTTCCGCAATCTCCTGGAAGACACATGGCGACATGTGCAGCTTGTCCCGAAAGTAGTTCTCCGTGGTGTCGTCGCATTGCCGCAAATCCTCTCTCGCCCTGACCGTCCTTCTTTTCATCCATTGCTCTAGGAAGAGTTCCAAAACCCAAGGCGCACCACACGGGAACGACGACATCACAGATGGCGGTGGTGTCCAACCCTTCCACCTACGTGCACTGCATCACCGTCCTCCTCTGCGCGCGGATCTGCACTTTCATATCCCCTGCCGTCCTCTCCACCTGACAACGGAAGAGGACCGCGGTAACAGCTCCTGCCACTGTTGTCCTCTCCGCCGGCGTCAACTTCCCACTATCGTCACTGCCACCACCCTGCATCACTCCTAAACGAGTCGAGGACATCACCGTCAATGATGGCGACAGACTCCCGTCCGCCATAGCCATGCACCTTCAACCTCCGCCTCCTTCCTTCACCTACACCTGTCCGCCATAGCCATGCACCTTCAACCTCCACCCCCTTCTTTCACCTACGTCCATGCACCATAGCCATGCACCTTCAACCTCCACATCCCTCCTTCACCTACACCCGTCCGCCATAGGCCAGCCGCTCGTGAGGATAGGTCGATGATCGAGGTTGATTAGGATGTGAAACTTTCTCTCTCTCTTTCTCTCTCT